GGTATGCATTTATGTATTTATGTATTCAAGTATGTGATGATTACAAACTTACTCAGCAGTATTAAGGATCAACGCTTTCCAGCAGCAATGATCATCGAAACATCCACAAATGAAAGGTTCACATTTTTCTTTTAATGTATAGCTGAATACTTTTAGAAAAAAGACATGAAGAAGGTCAAAGATTTGTCTTTCGTTCGATTTCAGGAATATGATGAAATCGTCATCTACATGTTTTGAAGAAACTTGGCAACAGGTCAGAAATGGTATCCCAAGCAAGGTGTTTAAGGTGTTCCACGAAAATTTCTGCAACGATGAGGAAAACTAGACTGTTCACGAGCATTCCTATCTTATGTATGATACAGGTAGACAGCAATTTTCATCTTCACCACGAATTCCATAGGTTGCTTTACAAAAAAACTGCTCAGTCAGTGGAGCACTGGATTCCATCCGAGAGGTCCCGGAGTCCCGAATCCGAGGCTGGGTCGGGATCACTCGCATTTCATCTTTTCGAGGTTAATAAATATTTTGTGTAAAGAAAACAGCAGATACAGCGCTTGACATGGATGTTGTCAACTATGGCTTTAAAAAGTACTCCTGACTGACGCCACAGAAGTGGAGATCAACGCTCAAAGTATTAATTTCAGAACAGAAGGTCGCCAGAATTGTTCTAAAGCGTAAAAGCGCAAAGAAGATTAACATTCCAATGGTCACAAACTTCCACTTTTTACTTTTTTTAGATTACCATGCAATTTCTCCAATAAATCTATTCGCGGAAGAATTCCATATCTCATAAGAATCCTAAGAAGCATGAAGATCACATCATATTCACTCTTATACCTATTAGAACTGAATCCTTTATTCAGGTGCTAATTTCCTGAACGCAAGGGTCTTGAAAAGGTTATATCCGCGAATAAATTCAATTTCATATAATCCCGACATTTTGGATCGAAGCAAATCTCGTTCGGTTGTAATATAACTTCGTTTTGCAATTATTGTTACATAATGTTCTCTGAAGATGAACCAAGTCCAATCCGATGGGTGAGAATTATGTTAAATTAAATTTGTATGCTCAGCAGTAACGCCTTTGAACAACTTCTTAAAGATTAAAAACTAAATTGCAAACATCCACTACCACTGACCTCTTATCTGATCAGTAAATATCTTGAGAGATCCCTCATGAATCTGTTGACTGATTAACTCATTGCCTGACAGGCTGACTGATTGATACATAGACAAACAGAGACAATCAAACAGACAGACTGACAGATAGGCTGGCAGGCTGACTGACTGACTGCCCGGAAGACACTGGACGATATTAATCATGAGCTCTTACGGGAGCGAAAAAGCGTAGGACAGGGAAGATATCCATGGCTGAAATGTGGATATAGACAGTCCGAATGCCGCCGCTCAGTAAAACACAATCTTAAAACGTCCCACTTTGTCTAAAATTTTAAATCTTCGATTAGCTTATCAAAGGCAATGCAACTACAATCTGCAACCGATGTAATGGCAAAACGGGTCTGCGAGAAACGGAATGTAACGAGTCCTTTAAATAACAACGTTTAAGTACGGAGCAGCGACCGCGATTAAAAGTGATCAATTTTATTTTTTCCAATTATAAGGATATGCTCGAAAAGCACCTTTGTATTCTGGACCGAAACCACCCAAATGATCAAAGTACTCAGTCCCATACAATGGCGAAACATGCAAGCGTATGTTTACTTCGAGGGCCCTGAAATACTAGTAAATGAAGTAGCGTAAACCGCGAAATGAATTAAATACAAAAGTTTTGCAAATAACTAACCAGAACATAGATTTTTGGCCAGCAATCATATTCATACCAAACAAAAAATCATGTCTCTGCTCCTTAACAGTTAATAAATCTAAGCGCATATGGCATGCTACTGATGATTACACATAAGTCAGATAATAATTGCTCGTTTTACCCGTTTCTGAAAAATGAGTCAAGCAAAGCGACCAACTGCTGCAGATGAACGTTTTCAACGCTCAAAGAGTGACTCTGATGCTCAGAAAAACAAGCAGCGTCCATTTCGACCTATAAATTAAAACAAATAGTCAATGTTTTTACCGAAATACAAGAAATTACTTCATGAATGCATGCCGCAACTTTCGTACAAAAAGTTTGTTTATTTGAAGCGCCCCCGTTTCGTGCGTCTTTTAAAAGATGACGGCGGACGGCGTTGGTACTGAAGTAGTTATACGAGAAAATGAACGAGCTACACATATACGCTTCACGCTTTAAAATGAAGATTAATATGTTTCTTCATTTCTTTCCGCACTGTCATCAGAGGGAGCACACCATTCTACAAGAGCAAGCATCCTAGAAGCTGATTTTCAAGTTTTAAAAGAATATGTTTTGTAGATAGGTCATTATGGATATGAACAATTTTTTAAATATCTTCTGAGATTGAATAGAATTCAGAACTCTGCGTTGGATGAAAGCGACTCAAGAACATTTCGTTTTATAAAGTGACAGTTGTGTAGATTATTG